ACTCGGTGCGTTCTACATAGTCTCCCTGAACACAAGACCAAGTTGCGACAACGAGGTCAACCCACTTATGTAATAGACTACATTGCTTATTTTTCGTTTATAAGCAGAGTTTAGGGACTACCGGAAAATCGGTTATATGAGATGAGTGAAACAACGAAATAATAAACTATAAATAAGTAATGCAGTCTATTGCTATAGTAAATATAACTTTGTTTAATTGACAGTATGAGAGAACTGCTGATAATCTTACCCCACACCAACCAATGAAGTTCACGTTCAGAAAGCAAGAGAATTCATCACCTGACATCAAGCATGCATAATATTAATCCCATATATAAATATCATTCAAAAACTAGTACATGCAAGGTCACTAGCCGATGTTAGGCTGCTTTAGGAATATGTCACTAGAAGAAGAAAAGCAGGATCCCAGTGACTCTTATATTGAACGAATAAATATTCTAATGAAAGTTTGGCCCACCATTATCCAGCTCAATGAATATTGATTCAAATAAGGCATCGCTTTTTGTTGCCGAAAAATTATGACCTGCGCTTAGAGTAAAGCTTATTAGCCCAATCCCATATAAGAGACAAAATTATTTAAAATAGGGCAAAAACAGTGATAAGTTTCGTTAAACCATCGCCAACTTCAGAATGGTGTGCACAATTAATTGATTGTAAGATAAAACGACCCAATTTAGTCAAAGGGATAATAAAACCTATGACTAGTAATCCAGAATAGAGAGCTTTTAAGGAATAATCTAACGAAACAAAAAATCTACGTATTGCAGACAAGTTTAAGTTCGTAGTTGGATAGATAAAAATCCGTGCTGTCGACTTGACTAGTCTCACAAGCTAAAACCAAGAAGTTACAAGTTAGAGTACAGAAAAAGACCGAGCACGATAAAGATGCTTACTCTCATTACAAGCCTTGGCAATACTCAGGACTTTTTAACCATATACCTGTTGAGTTGGAAAATATACATTCCTAGTGAAGAAATGAATGATTATTTAATGATTGAAAGAAGAGACGCAAAATTCTCAACCAATATTCTAACTGGTAAGACTTCACTTGTCTCTCTACCAAAATAAATGCTTAGTGGAATTAGCAACGGGTGACGGAACTTGTGTAAATCATACCTCGACTAAGTAAGCCAATACAATAAAATCGAATTATAAGCTGTATAAATCAGTGCTTTTCATATACTAAGCATAAAGTAAAATTACAAAAAGGACGGCTTCAATAGCAAACGAAATAAATGGAATATAAAAAATTGGACATCCTAAGGACCTCCGTGTTAGATATGCTTATTACTCAAAGGGCAGGAATGTGAAATATTTCGAAATTAAATATCTATGGTGATGAAAAAGCCCTTAAAAATGTTGGGGAAATTTGAATAAGAATTAACAGAAAATGAATACAAATTAGAATGTTGGATAAAAAATAACACAGATAATATAATAGCGTAATAGGCCAAACCCAGACTTATAAAATTTCAACGGAAATATAGTATCGACAAAATAAGATAGAAAAGTCAACCGGTTTAAGTAGTCAGATGGAAAAGAAAAGTTTCCTGAGGTGAACTAAGTCTACTCATCATCAGAAAGTGATGTAAGCGGAATTCTGGCAACAAATTGATTGACATAACTGGCCAGATAGAGATATCCATCGTGTTCTGAAGCCTCACTCAAACTGAAAATATGGCCTGAGGTGTCGTGAAGAGACTCAACGATCCTTCCAGATGGATCTAATCGGACGACCATTGCATGTTTTCGAACACCAAGCATGTGAAGAGTCGGTATTGAGAAAAGCTAATAAGGAAAAATTAAAAGTGTAATAACAAAGTGATAGTAAGACAACAGTACGGTCTAAAGTATGTTGCAAAAAGTAAAATTGCATCTACTGTTTCACTTCATGTTTAGTATTTTTGGCCATTAGTTTGTCACAAAAATACCCGAACGAACTTGTAGAGTAAATAAATGAGAATCTGGTCCGTAGGGGGACCAATCCTAGTGAAAAAACGAATATAAAATATAAGGATGAGAGCGGAAACGGCCAGAATCCAAGGAAAAAATAAAAAAAACTTAGCTTGAACATGTTATGTAACTATCAATAATTCTGGCATACAAACTTAGTCACCCTACATTGGTTAAGGTAGCGTAAGAAATGATCCCTTAGTTTTTGCCATGATTGAATCGTATTTCACTTAGTCTTACCTTCAAAATAATATTCTCATTTATAGTGAGCGGTTTTGAACGGCTTAGAGCCCAGCAATACATCCAATGCGATTTGAAAGCGGATCGTGTTCATCGTAGCAATGTTGCCACAGCGCTACATAGACACAGACACCAGTGGGTGCCAAAGTGCAGATGCGATTTTTAAGACACTCAAGTACTCAAGTAGTACTCATATGAAATTTATCGATTAGGAGAAGATGAATTAGTCATTAGAATAGATGAGTATTTATACTTAGTATGAATATGCTTCGAAATTTAAACGACTTAGGGTAACAAAGTTCTAATTCAAGAGTTGCTAGCACTTTCGAAACATAGGCGTGGTAAATATATGGAAAACATTTTATTCCACTATGAATAACTTGGGAGAATCCTGGCTAGCCTCGCATGCTGTT